CGTCATGCAGGTCGGCGTTCAATCCCCGACCGTCCATACAAGTACTTGGGTACCATTCCTTCCCCCCGTCACATCCTAAATCCTTATCCTGACACCTTCCCAGTGCTATATAGCCGTAACCGCTTGGCGTTTTCCCCTGATAATTCCCTTCGTATTGTGTATCTCATCTGCAGGGAGGGGGGAGGGGTAATTTTGACAGGTTCGGTGATTGCAAGTTAAGACTGGTGGACTAGGGTTTGGCTTTACTGTATACACGTGAATTTTTCAGAGAAAAGTACTAAGCCATTATTGTGTAGCACTTGGACCATTAGGGAGGATTGACGATGGTTGACCGTTACTCGTTCCTGTAATAAACTCATTTTTCATTCTGTTGACAAGGTCAAGGGATTGGGCTCCTGTGGGTAGGGCTGCTATAAGCAGACAGTGCCGAGCCGGTATGTCTATATGGCATTTGTAAGGGATACGAGGCCAAGGAGCTGGGGTACGAGGCCAAGGAGCTGGGGTACGAGGCCAAGGAGCTGGGGTACGAGGCCAAGGAGCTGGGGTACGAGGCCAAGGAGCTGGGGTACGAGGCCAAGGAGCTGGGGTACGAGGCCAAGGAGCTGGGGTATGAGGCCAAGGAACTGGGGTACGAGGCCAAGGAACTGGGGTACGAGGCCAAGGAACTGGGGTACGAGGCCAAGGAGCTGGGGTACGAGGCCAAGGAGCTGGGGTACGAGGCCAAGGAGCTGGGGTACGAGGCCAAGGAGCTGGGATACGAGGACAGGGAGCTGGGATACGAGGCCAAGGAGCTGGAATATGAGGACAGGGAGCTGGGATACGAGGGCAAGGAGCTAGGACACGCGGGCAAGGAGCTGGGACACGAGGCCAAGGAGCTGGAATACGAGGCCTAGGATCTGGGATACGAGGAGGGAAGAAATGAGGCCCAGGTGTTGTTAGCTGGGGTACTGGCGATGTTTGGATGAGCGTGTGTGTGTCACAAGTTATACGTCTGTCCTGTGTGGTTTATTCTGATTTCTGAATGGTTGCCTGGCATCTGTTGGAGTTTGTACATTAGACCTGGAGTATCATAATTAATGATTGCCCAACCATATGATTTAATCTGGGATGTAAGAAGGCAAAGCATCTAAATACAAGGGCATGGAGAAACTATTTTATTTTTTATTATTTTTTTTCTATATGCAAGAGTTCTTACATTCTTGTACAGCCACTAGCACGCATAACATTTCGGGCAGGTCCTTAATCTTAATTTCCCCAGAATACGACCCGCCAAATCCTTTAACAACCAGGTACCCATTAACTATTTAGTGAACAGATACCAAAGTAAAGGATTGGCCCATTAACTATTGAGTGAACAGATACCAAAGTTAAGGATTGGCACCCAGTCAATCCTCCTTGGCCAGGATATGAATCCAGGTCAAAACGCTTGCAAAGCACAACTGCAGGAATAACAGAACTCCAGAAAGCAGATGTCTCCGTGGTGTAGTGGTAAGACACTCGCCTGGCGTTCCGCGAGCGCTATGTCATGGGTTCGTATCCTGGCCGGGGAGGATTTACTGGGCGCAATTCCTTAACTGTAGCCTCTGTTTAACTCAACAGTAAAATGTGTACTTGGTTGTAACAACGATTCTTCGCGGCGGGGATCGTATTCCAGGGACCTGCCCGAAACGCTACGCGTACTAGTCACTGTACAAGAATACAACGACAATTCCATATACAGTATCTCAAAAAAAAAATATATATATAGATACAAGAGGGCCAGGAATGAGTACCTCAGTGAAAGATTCAGAGACACAATATGAAAATGACAGTAAATAAAGCAAGGGCTCAGCCACGTGATGAAAACAACAGTGAAGGAACAGGGTAATGAAACCAGGAAAGGGGGAGGACAGGCTCGCCGAGAATGACAAGGAGATGTGTGAGGAACTCTTACAAGAGATTCCAGGTTGTCGCAATAAAGCAATTTGTTACTGAACTAATAGAGTGGGCATTAAACGAGGCACTGCTGTAGGAATTTGAGATTGCCAGTGGTGAGGTAAAGAAGCATTTGCTGGAAATAGACATGACAAAGGCTGCGGGTTCAGATCTCATCACGGGTGCTAAAAGAGGGAGCAAAAACACTAGACTTAATATCCATGGTGAACTATTATACTCCATGGTCACTAGGCTTTTGCCCCATGGTGACCTATTATACTCCATGGTGCATAATAGGTCATTGGTAACAGGAGAACTACCAAAATGGGGGAAAACGGCTAATGTAGTCCTGATATACAAGAAGGGAGAGAGAGACAGACGGCACTGAACAACAGGCCACTATCCCCAACTTGCATACCACGTGAGGAAAGAAAGAAAGTTCTTTCCTAAGGATATTGTGAGAAAACTAGTAGAACATCTGGAGAGAAAGAACTTTCTTAATACACCAGCAGCGTGAGTTCAGGGATGGGAAATCTCGTCTCACAGGTTTAGTAGAATTTTAAACCAGGTGACACAAATTATACGAGAGAGAGAAGGGTGGGGCACACTGCATATTTTTGGGATTGCCAGAAAGCCTTTAACACTACCCCATAGGGGGTCATTCATGCTAAATCATGACAAAAAGTGGATTTTTTCCACCCAACTATCTTGGATGTTCATGAAACTTGGTGGACTAGTGGAGAAAAGTAAAAAGTTATAAAGTAACTTGAATATGCAACATTTTAGCACTCGCTGATGCACAATATTCAGACAGTAAGGTTGCCAATGTGAAAACATAAACAACATTTTTACTTAAAAGCCCAACAAAAAACTAATTCTTTGCTTCTAACTAAGGTATAACCATTATGCTGGGCTTGTTTGGAAGCAAAGGAAACATTGTTTTCATTAAAAATAGTTTTACAATAAATATTACATTTTTAATTTCAAGATCACATGATGTTACCTTTGACCTTGAATTTATAAAAAAAAAATTATCTAATTTTTGGGTTCAGTTAAATGCATTTTCTCTGTATAAGTTTTATTATGGGATGGCTTTAGAAACAGGAGTAAAAATTCATAAAAATAACATGCGTCACATGCAGGAAAATATCTTGCGAAGCTCTCACAAATCTTGGGGAGCTTGGCTTGGCTTGGGGAGTAGAACTCCCAGAACCCCATCAACCAGGTATCAAGCAGGTACCTCGGTACTTGTTTATGGAATTTAGCATATTGGAGAATGAAATATGTCGTATACAGCTTTGAGGAAAACATACAATTATAACAAAATTGGTGCCTTCTCGCGTGCAGTGCGTCTTTCTGAGCTTGTAGTGTCCACAGCAGTTAACGTGTCGGTTTGCCCAGTTGCAGTATGTGGATCATCTTGAGTGAGAACTTGTGCACTCAGAATGTTGATTATGTGTGGTTAATGTGAGGATACACACATGATGGGGGATGGGCCATAGGGTTATCTTGATGATTTCGGGGCTTTAGTGTCCCTGCGGCCCGGTCCTCGACCAGGCCTCCACCCCCAGGAAGCAGCCCGTGATGGCTGACTAACACCCAGGTACCTATTTTACTGCTAGGTAACAGGGGCATAGGGTGAAAGAAACCCTGCCCATTGTTTCTCGCCGGCGCCTGGGATCGACCCCGGGACCACAGTATCACAAGTCCAGCGTGCTGTCCGCTCGGCTGACCGGCTCCCGGTCGGCCGAGGGGATGGGGATGTAGGAAACTGATCAAAATCTTCCAGTGATATTTTATTCACATTCCTGACACACACTAACCACCAGTCATCATTAGAGATGCAAGTCACAGCACTTTATTTCTTCCAAAGATAATGTTTCATGTGGGATACTCCGCATGACTGGTCGTTTCTGTAGAAAATCTCCTCGTTATTAAGTCATTGCTTGTTCCTGGCATGAAAGCAGGAAATGTTTTGAGTTCCAGGTAGTGGCTAAGCTTCAGGGGCCAGATTCACGAAAGCACTTACGAACCTGTACATCTTTTCTCAATCTTTGGCGGCTTTGTTTACAATTATTAAACAGTTAAAAATGAGCTCCGAAGCACCAAGAGGCTGTTTATAACAATAACAACAGTTGATTGGGGAGTTTTCATGCTTGTAAACTGTTTAATAAATGTAACCAAAGGTGTCAAAGATTGAGGAAAGATATACATGTTCGTAAGTACTTGCGTAACTGCGTTGTTAGCAACAGGAGCTAAAAAAAAATTAATATAAAAGTTGAAATTTAGTCCAACTCTGAACAAACGAACCATCATCCACTCGTCAGTTTTCGTGTTGGCTTCGTTAACTGTGCATATAATTTGATCATAAATTAGGAGCACGGTGTGAAACAACTGGAGCAAATTAAAAAAAACAACAACTAAATTTAGCTCAAAAAAGAGCTAAATTGGTAATCCTGCTGAGAGGCAGACAGACAGACACTATCAGACTTAAAGACAGACACTATCAGACACTATCAGAACTTGCCTGGTGCATGTATGGGGCAATAAGTAATTACGTAAGTATAGAGCTACGCTCGTGGTGTCCCGTCTTCCCAGTACTCTTAGTCGTATAACGCTTTAAAAACAGTGAATGTGTTGGGGGAACTGATTTTAATAACAAGAGAGAGGCCATAAGGCATATACTAATTATTTACAAATAAATAATATAAATCCAAGGTAGGGTATATCCAGGGTGGACCAGGATATACGGTACCTTGTTTCAATTGGTTAGGAACCATTCCTTGCCTCCCTCCTATCCTTGTCCTCATATTCCTTCCAAGTGGTACATAGTTGTACTGGCTTAGCAATTTCCCTGATAAATTTCCTTACACAGCGCCTACCGAGATGTGTAGGCCTTGATGCCTTTCTTTATTCCTCGTGTGATTAAACCCTGTACAAACTAGACATGTTTTCATGTACCTGTACAGTGATTATAAAATTTTGTTTAGGTATTGAACACGTTGAGTTTTTTTTTTAATTTCTCGTGCATAAAATGTGTATATAAATGTATTATTCTTATTTACATGTTCTGTACTTTTTTTCAGGTGGAACAGTCATAACCAACACAACTCTGCTAACACCTGGTATATGGATCCGCACAAGACGGGAGGCGGCATGAATCAACAACCGCCACCTGCACACAACATGCCAGGTCCCCCACAACATCCAGCTGCTCAGCACCCCCCGGCCATGGGACAGACCATGCCTCCACGACAAATGCAAACAGGTTACCCCATGCAGCCTAGACCGGCCCACACAGGAGCCCCGGGGTCAATGGCGTCAAAACCTCCTCCTGGCACTCCGGGCCACATGACGCCCAAGGCACAGAATCAACCAGGAACTATAAACCCGAAGCCCATAGTTCCCACTACCACGAATGTCCAACAGGTCCAGCCAAAATTGCAGACTCCAGTACTTTCTGTAGCCCAACTTAAGCCAAATTTACCAGTCAGCACAACGGCAAATATGGCACCGATGCCAAAGCCTACTCCTGCTCTTGTTCCAGCTACATCCATACCTGCCATTCTTAAGCCTACACCACCATTAATGCAGCAGCAGCAACACCCACAGCTGCAGCAACAACACCAACAGCAGCAGCAGCAGCAACAGCAGCAACAACACCAGCAACAACAGCCTCAGCATCAGCAGCAGCAACAGGTGCAGCTGCAGCAGGTGCAGCAACAGCAGCAAGCACAACCACCTAAACCAGCTGTACTTGTCCAGCCACAGCAGCAGCAGCAGCCCCAACAGCAGCAGCAACCCCAGCATCAGCTGCCACAGCAACAACAGCAAGCACAACAGCAGCAGCAGCATCAACAGCCACCTAAGCCAGCTGTACCTCTTCAACAGCCACAGCATCAACAGCCACCAAAGCTTGCTGTGCCAGTACAACACCAACAGCACCCACAGCCTCTAAAGCCTGCTGCGCCTCAAAACTCGGCAATCCCACCAAAGTCACTCATGCCATCCGTCTCAATAACGCCTAGCCTCCCTAAGCCCTCTCAACCCTCTCCAGCTGCAGTACCATCTGGCAACCAACCTAAGCCTTTCCAAGCCCAGTCTACATCGCCTACCAAACCAGTACCAGCAGCTGTGCCTATCCCTGCTACGGTGACTCCCGTTACTACTAAACTTGGCCAGGCGTCTGGTCCACCCACAGGTCCACCACAAAGTCCGAAATCCTTTGCTTCGATCACGCCTGCACCCGTAGCCAGTCAGAGCTTACCACCAAGACCCACTAATCCAATGCCAGTACCTGTACAAAAGCCTCCCCAGCCTACTCAGCCGGCTAAACAGCCACCACCCGCATCGAGTGCACCCGTAGCAGTCACCTCTCCCACCAAACCACCGCCCACCAACACACCAGCTGTAACACCCTCGCCTCAAACTAAACCAACGCTCTCGGAAATATTTCAACAGAAGACGGCCCCTATAGAAATTCCTCCACACAAAGCCGTGGAAACCACAAAGCCATCTGTAGATGCAACTGTAAAGACTCAAACTATTCCAAGTGTCAATGGAGTACCAGTTTCTAAGTCGCCTGTAAAGCCTGTTACTCCGCTGCTGCCATCAAAGCCTGCTGAAGCTCCATCCACTGAAACTAAGCCATCTTTGCCTCCTACCGTGTCACTGCCAAAGCCAGCCACTCCCGTTAGCAAGCCTAAAGTAGACATACCACTTTCTCAGCCCAAAAAAGAAATTGTTAAACTGAGTCCAAGCGCGAAGGTGCCTATTGAAAATTCAACAACAGATGCGAAGACTGTTAACCATGCCGACCCAAAGACTGAGGATTTACTCGAGACGCCGAAGAAAACACGAACATCCAGAGTAGGTTGCTTATGGCGTTTTGTCTGCAATTTGTCCTAATTGATTTCTTAATCATATGTGATCCAATGACACATTTCACTGGCCATTTTAATGTGGATAAATATTTATATTAAATTTATTTATAGAGTATTGGTGTGTGTGCGCCTCAGAGAGTTGACACACGCTAGTCTTGTAACAAAATATTTGATTGCAGCAAAAGCGTGAAATATTGGCCCCAGAGACGCCTGGTGATGAACGGCGTAGTAAGCGGCCTCGTAATCCTGCAAACCTGTATCAGTCTCCTGGTTTGAATTCCTTGAACAGAATCCGAAAAACAGACTCTTCCACTCCCAAGACTCCTCAGGATAAACTCATTGTTTTCTTCAGGTAAAGTACAATTTGTCAACACAAAACAGTGGTTTGTTAAATAAAGTACTGTTCTATAGGCCAGAAATCTGGATATTATCATTTAAAGACATAAGATTTCTGTAAGTTCTTGATTTGTAAATAGTACCCCTATTTTAGCTAATGTATTTATCATAAAATTTTGGGGATTTTTCATGTAGCAAATTATACAAGTTTCTGCATATTTAGACATACACAATTACACACACAGATCACACTAACGTGATGCATCAAATGAACAAATCCACAAGGGCAGTGACGAGGATTCGAACCTACATCTCGGAACATCCCAGACACTGCCTTAATCGACTGAGCTACGACAGGGTTAAAAAGAGTTGAAACTGAAGTTCTACTGAACTTACTGGATCCCGTAGCCTCTCCGAGGCACAAACCAGGATTTTACACAACCCCTTCCCTGCACCCGAGCTATGTCAGTAGGCCGTTCTCCCTCTTCGCCCTTACATCATTACACACAGACAGATTTATTCATTAGACATGCACAATTTTGCCCCGAAGGGCAAGTTTATTGGGCAGTTTCACTCCTGTGAGTGAAGACATCTCCATGGCAGCATGTACAACACTCCTCCCCTCCCCCAATTGGAAGAAAACCCACTAGGTTGTTCGACCTATCACTTGTACTTAGACGAAGCTGGGTCTTAACTGTCTCAAAAACTGTCTTGTTTATCAGACAAGAAGATTGACATTTACCAATCCTTAAATTTGTGTTACTGTATCTTGTGCAAAGTTGGGGAAATCTTTTAAGAAGAGTATATGTATTTGGCAGTGTTTTCCTAACTCGAACAATATGGGGGGTATTACTCTGTTCATATTTATAATGTGTCTTAGGTGGCCACATCCCTGGAAACACAAACTGTAACTGTCTCTATTTTCCGCTTATCTTGAGGTTATCTTGAGATGATTTCGGGGCTTTTTAGTGTCCCCGCGGCCCGGTCCTAGACCAGGCCTCCACCCCCAGGAAGCAGCCCGTGACAGCTGGCTAACACCCAGGTACCTATTTTACTGTTAGGTAACAGGGGCATAGGGTGAAAGAAACTCTGCCCATTGTTTCTCGCCGGCGCCTGGGATCGAACCCAGGACCACAGGATCACAAGTCCAGCGTGCTGTCCGCTCGGCCGACCGGCTCCCTCCCGGCTCCGCTTGTTACAACTTGTAATAAAGTTGTTACATCTTGGCTTATGACGTATTAGAACGTTGTTACAACTTGCTATATTGGTTGTTATAACTGGTTAGGTGGTGTTAAAACTTGTTCGAATGTTGTACCAACGTCGTGTTTGGCTGGATCTCTCGGTTGTGGTCAAGGCAATGCCCATCACTCACCACAGATTCTGCAGCTCAGTTGCTCGGCTATTGTTTCCCTCCTGAATCTCTGTGTATTTGTATCCAAGATGAGTTTTCACTATTGCCGATTCTCTCATTCAGCAACCTCCCTCCCATCCATAGTGAGTGGGATAGCCAGCTGCATCCACATTGTACCGGCGTACAGATTCACTGACTTGTTCTTCAGGCTTTCTTTCCTCAGTTATCTTGAGGTTATCTTGAGATGATTTCGGGGCTTTAGTGTCCCTGCGGCCCGGTCCTCGACCAGGCCTCCACCCCCAGGAAGCAGCCCGTGACAGCTGACTTACACCCAGGTACCTATTTTACTGCTAGGTAACAGGGGCATAGGGTGAAAGAAACTCTGCCCATTGTTTCTCGCCGGCGCCTGGGATCGAACCCGGGACCACAGGATCACAAGTCCAGTGTGCTGTCCGCTCGGCCGACCGGCTCCCCGTTAATTAGAATACAAGTTACCTTGTCCCAGTTGTTCCCTGATGATACCTCTTACCTTTTAGAAGTGTTTTGGGTATGAGGTATTCAGTATGGTCTCCTTCAGCACCCTCCAACATGGGAGGGAAGCCACAGAAACTTAACACTTTCCTGGATTTTCGACTTGCACTTACGGGCGGTTTCCCTAAACGCTTGTTGGATCACGACGTAAATTTATGGACCGTGTTTTATATTGGGTATTTACTACTCGATCGACTTGGGGTTTGTATGAATATGTTTGCCATTAAATTTTTGTTTTCTCTAATAGGCACTGTGCCTATTTGAGAAAACGGCAATGTATTGTAACTTAGAGGAGAGACTATTGAATTGGTGTCACAACGAGGGTAATCGCGCACTCCACACACTCTTGTGTTGGCCGCGATCATGATTCTACATTTATATGTCTGTGTAGAGAATTTTATTCCGAACACTATACAAAAAAAAAAACGGAGTGAATCAAGTATAAACTTGAAAAAACATGAGCAAAGTAAAAACTTTTTACGCTCACGGGTACAAACACGCGTAAGATTCGCGTAAGATTTTATTCGCCGCAAATTTATTTGACGCTCTGTTGGCCAATTCTACCCACGTTCTTATAGAACTTTCTATTGCGAACACATTGCTATAAAAATGAAATACGTAGCTCGAGAAATAATGTCATGACAGTGAAATAAGTATAAACTTTCAAAGCGCTGCATCACAACAGTGTCGTCGCTGCTGAAATCACGGCTAACGCTTCGCCCAGTTCCCACACTCGTGCGGAACATAATTAGACATTGATAGGCATATGTCTGGGTGGGGAATTTTATTGCGAGTTCAGTGATATCAAAATAAGCGCTGTAGGATGACTGTGAGGCTGGCAACAAACGAAAGAGTATGAACATTTACTTCCTGTTTGGGTGTCACGGCGAGTCATCTTCGTGTTTATTTACTTCGTGGTGGGATAGCAAATGCTTGGGTGACATTTTATGCATATTATCCTGTAGAGAATTTTATTGCCAACGCATTGATACCAAAATGAAAAACATAGCTCGAGAATTGATGTTAGGAGCGTGAAAAGATGATAAACTGTTTTGTGTTCACGCTTGAGCGCCCAGAACGCCACGCGCACAACCCGCTTTTTTTTCCAAGGAGTGCCGCGCGCACTAAAGTGTTAATCACTCTTCCCTGATTGGTTAGTATTTTCCAACCCATCCTCCTGTTTAGGTAGTACCTATTGTGATGTAGGATGTAGACATTTTTATTACGACGTGCACATCATGGCCAAAGGATTAACTCGATCTCAACTGTGGAAAGTTTTTAGTATTTATTATGTGTGGGTGGATATAAATAGGAGCTGCTTCGTATGGGGCCAATCAACCCTCGTATGTTCTAATGCATATTCTTAAAAAAAAAAGTATCTTAATTCAAAAGCCAGCTTTTAAGTACGTTTAATATGGAATTCTTTACAGGACGAGGTGCAACAAGCTTTGCCAGTATTATTTGTTTCATTGTCAAATAATTGCTTGGCGTCTTGCATCATGGGGGGGGGAGCTGGTCGGCCGAGCGGACATCACACTGGACTTGTGATCCTGTGGTCTCGGGTTCGATCCCTGGCGCCGGCGAGAAACAATGGGCAGAATTTTTTTCACCCTATACCCCTGTTACCTAGCAGTAAAATAGGTACCTGGGTGTAAGTCAGCTGTCACGGGCTGCTTCCTGGGGGTGGAGGCCTGGTCGAGGACCGGGCCCCGGGGACACTAAAGCCCCGAAATCATCTCAAGATAACCTCAAGATAACCATCAAGTTTGTCTTGTAGCCTGTCGTCTAATAAGAACCATTTTCTTTCCAGAAATGAACATGTGGCCGTGAGAAATTCGGAAGGAACGTTCTACTTGTGCCAAGTTGCCCAGAATGTTTTTAAAAATACACGCAAGATTAAGATCCGATGGCTTTCTCCCGAGGATTCCGACAACAAGAACTGCAACACGTACAAGCCTGATTATTATGATGTTACAGGTAGTTAAGCTCTGATTTCTCTACTCTGTTGCTTGTATTATTTTACTATTAAACAAGTTCCTGCAGGAGGTGCTGAACCAATTGGGTTGTAAGGTACTCTCCAGGTAATCATGCCGTTGAACATGCCGTAGTTCAACCACTTCAGGATCAAAAGAAACCGAACGGTGGATTAAGTTTGAATACGGGTGTGACTGACCCCCTCTCATTCTTCCATATTATCCATGTTAAATCTGAAGATACAATACAGTAATAACAATTTTTTCAGGGCGCTTGTTCGTTATGTGTTGATGTTACTCCACATTCGGCTTCTGAATGATGTCTTAGGGAATTTGGAGGTGTTGATTCAACCAGTCCTGCTAATAGAGCATCACATGCAGGCGATGAGTCACAATAACGTGGCTAAAGTATGCTGACCAGACCACACACTAGAAGGTGAAGGGACGACGATGTTTCGGTCCGTCCTGGACCATTCGCAAGTTGCTTGTCTTCAGAATTGCCTCAAGTCACAATCGACTTGAGAATGGTCCGAGACGGATCGAAACGTCGTCGTCCGTTTACCTTCTAGTGTGTGGTCTGGTCAAGAGCATCACATTTTGATGCATATTCTACCAGAGAACACTATATAAACATCAGAAGTCCACGGTTGTTCAAGGCCTGCAAGGAGGCCTTGTCAAGGACCTGGCCGCGGGGACGCTACGCTCCGAAATCGTCTCAAGATAACCTCAAGATATCCCTGGGACCAGTACGTACGAGTGCTGAACCCTGGTCAACACAAGTAGGGTGCTGCAAACATCACAAACTTCAGGAGTGGGCAGATAAATGTCTGCTGGAGTTCATTCCAAATAAGTGCAGAATAATGTCAATGGGTAAAGGGAGACTGGAGACCTGTATTTAAGTACACCATAAGGGGGAAGACAATTACAAGAACCATTAAAAGGAAAAGACCAAATGAACAAATCCACAAGGGCCGTGACGAGGATTCGAACCTGCGTCCGGGAGCATCCCAGACGCTGCCTTAATCGACTGAGCTACGACATGGTTAAAAGAGTTAAAACCGAAGTTCTACTGAACTTACTGGATCCTGCAGCCTCTCCGAGACACAAACCAGGGTTTTACACAACTCCCCCATGCACTCGAGCTATGTCAATAGGCCGTTCTCCCTCTTCGCCCTTGCATCATTACACACAGAAATCACAATAACGTGATGCATCAAATGAAGACCAGTGAGTAGGCAAGATAGCATCTCCAGCGTATGGGAAGTCAGTACACACGAGAAGATTATTTAAGAATTTAAATAAGGAGGCTTTCAAGTCCATACATAATGTCTATTTAAGACCATTACTTGAGTATGCAGCTCCAGCATGACAAAAAATTGAGAAAGATCAGAAGTGTGCAACTAGATTAGTTACAGAATTGAGAGGCCTCAGCTATGAGTAGTTACTAATTAAGTGAACTCAAACCTCACAACCTTGGATAAAAGAAATCCATCCTCCACCTGGAGTCCTGGTCGACGACCGGGCCGCAGGGACGCTAAGCTCCGAAATCATCTCAAGGTAGGCAATAGTACATATATTGACTATCGCCACCTTTTGATAGGTAAGTATTTGACTATTAATCTTACTATCAACTGACAGGTTGAAACTTTTTCATTGTAGTTTAATGGTTTAATTTATGGTTTAATGGTTTAATTTATGGTTTAATGGTTTAATTTATGGTTTAATGGTTTAATTCTATCCGTGCTGTAATATTATCTCTTTAACATTATTTTATTATGCATTGGGGGTCTGTGAATGGTCAGGCCTAGAAAAGGTTAATTCAATGTTTTGATTACACTAATTTTGAGAGAGCGTACAGTGAATGAAGCACATCTTGAGTTTGAGCTTTGAAAAAAGACCGATTAATAAATGTGCAAAATGCGGTTCATTGCCAACTGGCATTGTTAATAGTTTGTTTATTGCACATTTGTAGGTCTAGTCCCAATTAGAAAAATTGTGAGTTACTATTATGCACATTAAAATTCTGCTACAAGAATTTGGTATAAAATTTCTATCCTTTCAAATTGTTTTGGCAACAGACCAAAACTACTTGTTCTTTTTTTTTTCAGATTTTGATTGTATTTTAACGACGGTCAATTTGGAACGGATAGACCGCAAAACGCTGCAGTTGAAACCCGAAGAAGAGACTCGAATTAACAACATTTTAAGTCGTGCAATGGACCTTGAGAAGGGGGTGCTAATTGATAAGCCAGATGTTGATGCCAATCACCCTGATGGATGTAAGTTGCTAGTGGTGGTGGTGGTAGTAGTAGTAGTAGTAGTAGTAGTAGGCATTATCCACTAGTCTCAGGAGACTATGGAGTTGTGCTCTGGTTGTTGGATCTGGAGTGGCCTCTCCAGACCGATATGGTAACTTGTATATATAAGTAATATGATAATTTTATACGTGTGTATATCACGAAAATAAACACGTGATTAAAAATGTGACAGTGTCAGACCACGGAGGAAAATTGAAACAGAAATTTCCTTAAGTACTTTCGTATATTAATACTCCTTCTGAAGATGTATTAATATACGAAAGTACTTAAGGAAATTCCTGTTTAAATTTTCCTCCGTGGTCTGACACTCATTATTTTATATATATATATATATATATATATATATATATATATATATATATATATATATATATATATATATATATATATATATATATATATATATATATATATATATATATATATATATATATATATATATATATATATATATATATATATATATAGATATATATATATATATATATATATATATATATATATATATATATATATATATATATATATATATATATATATATATATATATATATATATATATATATATATATATATATATATATATTATATATATATATATATATATATATATATATATATATATATATATATATATATATATATATATATATATATATATATATATATATATATATATATATATATATATATATATATATATATATATATATATATATATATATATATATATATATATATATATATATATATATATATATATATATATTATATATATATAAAGTTACTAGTTGTTTATATTCATTAGGTAGTGGTTGTGTTAATGTGGTTTTCATCCGAGAGCTGTATACTTGACTGGTTGGTAGAACGATGCCCTTCTACCTCCGTAATACACTTGACATTGATTTAGCTCATTACACCAGTTTATACTCATAACACACTCGGGACTTGTAATATTCCTTCTGATGCCTTTGTTGATTTCCCTTGAATGGTGATCATAAGGTATCTGGATAACATTCTCATTGATCACTTTGAAACTTTCAGGGTTTGTTATTGTGGGGCAAGAATGGAAGTTACTGTATTATTTTGAGACAATTTAAACAGTTTAAGCTCAAAAATGAAAAAGTTTATGCCTACTGTATTTCTGTGCGCGGGCACAGAAATACAATAGGTGCATTTTTGTTTTTAATGGGGTTAAAGCTCTTGATTTTATACAGTACTTGAAATATGTTTTATCATAGAATCATACCAGAGAGGTGAAAATGTTCGTGTGTAACCCCCCAATAGGTTTCAAGTTGCACATCATTCATAATTGCTGTAAATGGAAAAAGTCTCTGCATTTGGCCCATAGTCCAGCAACCAGTCCAGCAACCAGGAGGCCTGGTCGACGACCGGGCCGCGGGGACACTGAGCCCCGGAAGCACCTCAAGGTAGCCTCAAGGTAGTCTCTAAATTGATGATGACCAGACCGCACACTAGAAAGTGAAGGGACGACGACGTTTCGGTCCGTCCTGGGGCCATTCTCAAGTCGATTGAGTCAATGTCTATCGACTTGAGAATGGTCTAGCACGGACCGAAACGTCGTCGTCCCTTCACTTTCTAGTGTGTGGTCTGGTCAACAAACTTTAGCCACGTTATTGTGACTCATCGCCTGCAGTCTCTAAATTACTTCAAAATTTGTATAGGTTGCCGAGAACTAAAGTCACAGTAATGTAACTACAACCTAATAGCCCAAAGGCAAATGTCTAGGACAGAAAGGTTGCTTTGTGAATGTTGTCCTGAATACTCCTGTACTGAATATTCTGTGGTTTGTATCCTAAGGTGTACCGGCTTATGGGGTACTGGTATCTCTTTGATTGGCTGTGATCAATTTGTGTGTAGTTTATAGTACGGTATATGTACTGGTGTGTAATTACCTAAGTGTAGTTACAGGACGAGAGCTACACTTGTGGTGTCCCATCTTCCCAGTACTCTTTGTCGTATAACACTTTGAAACCACCGACGGTTTTGGCCTCTATCACCTTCTCACTTAGTTTATTCCAATCATCTACCACTGTTCGCAAAAGGAAACTTTATAATGTTTTTCTGACACCTTTGTTTCCTTAGAATCTGTGTCCTCTTGTTCGTGATGTTGCTGGTTTCACGAATTCTTCCTTGTTAATTTAGTTGATTTCTGTTAGAATTTTATATGTATTGATCATATCACCTCCTTTCCTTCTACAGTATCTTCTAGTTTTGGTATGTTTAATAATGTCTGTAGTCTCTCCTCATAGCTCTTGTTTTTCAGTTCCTGAAGCCATTTTGCAGCATGCTACTGTACCTTTTCCAGTTTCATTATGTGCTTCTTGAAATTTGGGCACCATACATGCCATTCTCAACCTACCTCGCAGGCTTTTTGAATGGGTAGAAATATTCGAAAGGTGTTTTTTCAGTTGACGAAATTTCCCACCGACCGAGTTTTCTCGGTTGGCGCAGCACAGTGGTTATGGGCCGGTTCTTGTCTTTATCGTATTTTCCTATCCTCCTAAAATCACTGACATTGTCCTTTTGAATTTAGGCCTTCTCCTAAACCTACTATTTTTCTATGATTTTCATCTCTTCTGCTGCTCTGTCTACCCGAGATGAACTTTCCTCTTTTAAATACCCGAAGATTATTATGGACTTAGAGTACTTCTATCTGCAGTGTTTTGTACTAGTGTACTGTTGGTTACCAGTTCTTTCCTAATTGCTTGCCTGATTTCTGCTTCTTGTTTGTCATTTCTGGTTTTGACTTCCAAACACTTCCTTGATCATCTCTTTCTCTTTTACAACTTGCGCAGACGTCTCTCTTTATTTTTTCTTTATACTTTTCTAGTTCTTTATTAACCTCCTTTATGTGAGTTGTCAATGAAGTTTCTGTTTGTATATTCTTGCCTAACTCCATGTTAGCCCTTAGAGTTTCTTGGAGTTGGCGCAGCACAGTGGTTATGGGCCGGTTCTTGTCTTTATCGTATTTTCCTATCCTATCTTGTCTTTATCCTATTTTCCTATCCATACGAGTATTTTCTTGTTTATTTCTTCAAATTCATCACTCTTCATTTTCCATACTTCATTATCTTTCACTAGTTCCTTGATTTGTTCCTCCTGAATCTTGATCTGGTCTGTTAATGCAGTAATTTTCTTACCTTGCTATAGAAAACTTCCTTTTAAAGTGTGAAACTCACTCCTGAGAGTTCCATTTTCTTCTAATTTAAGTACTTTTTTCTGCTTAGCATATCCTCAGTTATCTCTAACCTACCTAGAAAACCACCGTCCTGTATTTGTTTCTGAGTAAAACCTTTGAAGTCTATCTCTTTTTGCTGTCTCTACTGGCGATCTTGACCCATCCAGGCCTGCCCCATCCGCTGTCTTTATTTTGGTTTCGTCGGTTATCTGGTTCAGAGACCCTGGGATAAATATTTTTTCCAGATTTATATATATTTTTCGCAACACTCGCCACTGTCCACCTTTTATTGATGATCTTGGTATATTGATGGTATCGGGAACACCATTTGCATAGCCTCCCCAGCACTATCATTCTGATATGACGCAAAGATCCTAGAGTTCTTAAACTGTGTCACGATGATGGTGGTAGTGTGTGTATCTATGTATCATGTATATTATGTATGTATTCACCTCGTTGTGCTTGCGGGTGTTAAGCTCTGGCTCTTTGGTCCCGCCTCTCAACTGTCAATCAACTGGTGTACGGGTTCCTGAGCCTATCGGGCTCTGTCATATCTACACTTGAAACTGTGTATGGAGTCAGCCTCCACCACATCACTGCCTAATGCATTCCATCTGTTAACTACTCCCACACTGAAAAAGTTCTTTCTAACGTCCCTGTGGCTCATTTGGGTACTCATACATATGTATGTATGTATGTGTGTGTGTATGTATTTATATTCAGTTTATATGTATATACAGTATATATATAATATTTATATATATGTATATTTTTTTAACTTTTTAGTGGATCTTTCACTGTACACAAATGAAGATCAGCTTAAAAAGAGGAGGAAGAGAAACTCATCAGGAAAGAGGAAGAAGAAAGAAGAGTCCTCGGGAGAGAGCGGTGTGGAATCTGAAGAAGAATCTGATAATAGTGAAGGTAAATGGCAAACTTGAATTCATTTTGTCCAATATATTTATTGGGATTGTTTTGGACTGTGTAAACAATTTGTAGGTTGTTGAAATTGTCTTGAGGTTATTGGCTAAATTTCTGGGAGGGATTCCTCGGTAGTTCCCCCCCGAGTTCTTTTCTGGTGCCAACGAGCCTTACTTTAACGGGCCAGGCCTCTGGGAGCCGGTTGGCCGAGCGGACAACACACTGGGCTTGTGATCCTGTGGTCCCGGGTTCGATCCCAGGCGCCGGCAAGAAACAATGGGCAAAGTTTCTTTCATCCTGTGCCCCTGTTACCTAGCAGTAAAATAGGTACCTGGGTGTTAGTCAGCTGTCACGGGCTGCTTCCTGGGGGTGGAGGCCTAGTCGAGGACCAGGCCTCCACCCCCAGGAAGCAGCCCGTGACAGCTGACTAACACCCAGTACCTATTTTACTGCTAGGTAACAGGGGGTATAGGGTGAAAAAAACTCTGCCCAATGTTTCTTGCCGGCTCCTGGGATCGAACCCAGAACCACAGGATCACAAGTCCAGCGTGCTGTCCGCTCGGCCGACTGGCTCCCCGTCAAGGTAGTTGTCAAGCTGTTGTTCTTCGTGTCGTGTCCATTTCCTTGGTGCCTACTACCGTGACCAGGCTTTCTTACTGCCTTCTTTGCTAATATGTTTTTGGCATAGGTTTGAAGGGTAGGTTTGGCAGGTTGCTTGGTTTCATATGTTTTTGGTTAGGCAAAACATTTTCATTTTTTACAGGGTAACAAATCAAGAGAACATGCTGTCGGTCCAGTAGTGCTTGGGAACCTCATATGAGAGAATATAGCAAGAATATTCAAGGGGGGAGGGGGTGTGCCTTTCGAGTTTAGTTTAAAACTACGTAATTTGTGTATAGTACTTACATGTGAAGAATTGAAAGTGAATGTGGACAAAAGTTGTGGTGGTGGAGAGAGACGGAAATTGTGTAAATGGAGAAATGGTTGACTAGATACTCCATAGTAGGAGGCTTTCAGGTGTCAGTTCATAGGAGGCCTTTGGGCTACTGCCTGAAGCTTCTATCCAATGTTGTGTGGGTGGCTGGTGCTTGATCTCCAACCTGCAATCTTCTTGAGGTTACCTTCAACTTCAGGAAACAATGACTTTGGGCTTAATCTTATATGAACAAATTCACAAGGGCCGTGACGAGGTTTCAACTCTTTTGACCATGTCGTAGCACAGTCGATAAAGGCAGCGTCTGGGATGATCTCGGACGCAGGTTCGAATCCTTGTCACGGCCCTTGTGGATTTGTTCATTGGATGCATCACGCTATTGTGAGTTCCGTGTGTAGCGTAGTGTAGTGTTAATCTTATATCTTCCTGTTGAGCTTGGCTCGGTCTACATTCTAATGGCTCTTTGTAGTGGCTCCTTTCTAATGGCTTCATTGGAACGAAGCAAAAGGATGGAAAGACCCTCTTGATTTCTGTTATGGCTCTGAACACTGGTTTTTGGTTCTCATCGAGCGTCTTTGGGTTTGTATCTCTTCATCTCAACAATATCTCATTGTATTATACAACTGTTTGTATTATACTTTGTACAACACTTTTGCAGTGTTGAGAGAGTTTTGGTCAGGACCAAGTTTTGAAAATAAACTCTGCAAATGGTTAATAGAAGTTACATTATAAGAGTATTATTACTGAAGGATCAACCTGTCCTCGGAGGAGGAGGTACCCTGGAGGTAATCGCTTCTAAAGCACTAATGTAATTAAGTGATATTATATACTCCCTATCTATGGTTAGACTTAAGTTAAGGTTAAAAAACCAAGGTGTCACTGTAGACTGTTAATGGAACCGTAATATGCTTACAGGCTATCATGGATATCTAGATAAATATCCAGGTGTTTAGGGCAGCTGGCCGGTCATTAGAACCACTTTACCTTGAGAACAACCTGTAAAAGATAGCATAAATTTACTTGGTTCCATAAATAATGGTTCCTTGCGAGTAATGCTGTACAACTTAAGCAGTCTCTTTATCCTCAGGTGAAGAGAGCCCCAAGAAAATTGCACGAACTCCCGCCAGACGTAACCCTAGAGCCGGCAGCAAGACTCCAGCCAAAGGCAAAACTTCCACACCAGCTCCAGCAAAAGCAAAAATTTCTACTCCAGCTGCCGCGAAAGGCAAAGTTTCCAGCCCTGCTCCAGCAAAAGGCAAAAGTAAGTCTCATTTAACCTTCTGTGTTGACTAGGGACAAAATATGCATGAATTGCTTTACTTGTTTACATAGGAAATTTCCTTCTTTGACCTCCATAGAAATAGTAGTTAGAACGAGTCGTCAAACTTTCCGTCCAACCTCGAGTCCAGGGTGTTACTTCGTGGGTACAGTATGTTGGCAACACAAGAACCAAATGGAGTTTTAAGCATCCTTCAGACATTAGAAGCCAGAAACATGATCAAAATATAATCGAATGTATAACACAGTAAACCCCTTGCATGTTGGTGGTCGTTTCCTTTACAGACCTTGTGAGACGTTTGAGAATATTTATGTTGGTGATAAGATGTGTATGATGAGGGTTTAAATACTTGGTGAGCATCGTGGAACCCAGTATAGGAGTGCTTGAATATACTGGGTACATGTCGTATGGGATGCTGTGTTTTTTTGGCTAGTGATACTTACCATTTAGTTTCTATTGGGTTTGTACTTGGTGCATCTTAAATATTGACACCAAATTCTTTCCCTTTCTTGTATACATATTGACCACATTCACCCTGAGCAGGAGTATTGACTTGCATCCCTCTGGCTCATTTGTTTTTTCCAACTTTTATATTTTCTCTCGGGAAAACAGGCTGTATCTGTCTCTATTCTCGCCCCTCAGTATTTTGTACTTACATGGTGCCCATATCCACTCGTCCTAGAGTTGTTGGATGGAGTTTCGGTTACCTGTCTTTGTTGCTTTGCCCTTATTGTTAGGGCACTTTTTAACGTACCTTTTGTTCTTCAAGATATGTGGATTTTATACCACTCTTGTAGTCTCGTATTGGAATTTTCACAAGCCGTGTATTCAAGTGCGCTTTGTGTTTAATGTCTTACTATTCTTACTATTCTTGTCTTACTTGTCTTACTATTACTTACTATTCTTGTCTTACTTGTCTTGCTATTCGTCGAGAGAGCGGGCGGTCAGTCATGATCATAGTTGCTAAACAGTTATGAGTTTAGGATGTTTGGGACAACATCTTTTGGGGTTGTGTAGAGGCTGCTCTGGCTGGAGTCTTTTATTCCAATAATTGTGTACCTTATTTTAACTTGTGGTGCTTCCAAGTATCAGCATCCCTGGGGCCCGGTCTCTGACCAGGCCTCCTGGGTGGTACAGTGTCAATATTGCACGGTAATATCACTGTTGAATGTTGCAATTATAATTCATTGAGAGTGTAGAAATACAACAAAAAAAACTTGCATTTACAATAGAGTAAAAATGAATTAGTTGGCCAAGAATGTGTATTGTTACACCTGAAATGTGCAAAAGTTATAACGATAGTATGTATATTAACTTTAAATGTTGCTCACAAGAAAATATTGAAGTCGTACGATGGGATCGAGCCCACGTTTCTCAACCCCTCAGGCACGTGCACCATCACGTTGTTGTGATTTCGTTGCGCACTATTATTCGTGTGTCGGGCAATCCAGCACAGTAATCTAGGTGTTAGTCTTGGACACCTCTAGAAATAAAAGTAATTATCTTAAATTATCTGAGTTAGTCATAGAGCTAAATAAAATAAAACAAAAAACAAGAAACCCCAGTGTTGATTAAAATCGTTTGGGTAAGTTATAACAATATTAAAACATTAAATTGATTTAGTACAGTATAAACAATATAATTTCTGACGTGGGATAATGGCCCTCTCGTCTATAACTGGTTGACAAGAGCTGTAATTATTTGTTAATTTGTTCTTATTGATGACCAGACCACACACACTAGAAGGTGAAGGGATGACAACGTTTTGGTCCGTCCTGGACCATTCTCAAGTCGATTGTCACAAGTCACAATCGACTTGAGAATGGTCCAGGACGGACCGAAACGTCGTCGTCCCTTCACCTTCTAGTGTGTGGTCTGGTCAACATACTTTAGCCACGTTATTGTGACTCCTCGCCTGCTTCTCCTTATTGACTTTTTAATGCCTAATATTTCCAGAGATGTTAAGAGGCAGCCAATCTGCCAATTTTTTGATTTGCCAACATGCGGTGGTTTACTGTGGTTGGAAGAGGTAGGTTGTACATAGGGCCGGTGCTACCATTAGGCCAACCAGGGCGCAGACGTCAAAGGGATTACCTATGTCAATACATAGTATTGACCTCTGGGGGGTCTTAATTTTAATTTTTTTTTTTTTTACAAAACTGTTTTTGGCAATTGAAATTGGCAAATTTATTTTATTTATTTATTTATTTTTTAATTTGTGAAAGTGTAGGGTGCAAAATAAACTTTACTCTGGCCCCCCTCTGGTTATACACTATGGTAGTCGTTGTTGATACACACATCAACGACGACTACGTTGTTGATGTTGCTGCAGGAATTAGCTAGTGGCACTGAGATAGGTATTAAGTTGATTGAGAACCAAGAGTAATGAGGTTGGTTCACATCACCAAACCAATAACGGGGTAATAAAAGAGGTAATTCTTTTGTGTCATTTCCTGCTGATCAGCGCGGTAACTTCCCGGGCAAGACGAATATAACAAGGTAAGGAGAGGCCCGCCAGTGGTCACGTGAATCATCTTCAGCCACACACACCATTTGCTGTGCAGTATTTATATTCCATGTTGTTTAGAAACTTAAGTGCACAATGAGGTCGCAGGAGCGTAATATATCCGAGAAACTATTGAAGCCGTACGACGGTATCGAACCCGTTCGGCTTCAATATTTTCTCCAGATATTTAAATGTTAAAGCTGTTTAGACTCTTGGTAGTTTTCATATTTTAGTGTATCGGCAATTATTAAAACGTCGAAGTGGCCGCCACCAAAAGGATTTGTGTCTTGTGTAGATACGCTACAAGTGTGCTGGGCCAACTTGTGAAGCGAGCTTAAGTACTGATTCGTAAGTTACATAGTGACTTGTATGAGGGGGTGAAAGTATGAGGGGACATGCATGGAAGGGTGCCATTTGAAATTTTGCCATAGCATAGCATTTTGCGTACCCATAGAAAATGGGTAGGCGTGTCACGGTGGAGCGTAGGAGCTTGAGGGGCCCAAAATCGCATTATAAGATGAACCTCCGGCTCAAGTTTCGGCATTGTATCGCAAAATGAAATGAGGCGGTGGAAGGGGGGGGAACCAAAAATACACAAAATGGCAACATTTCAAACATTTAAAGGTATATATAAATGATCTGCCAGAGGAAATACAGTGTTACATGATTGTTTACAGTCAGGGACTTAGATGTCTGTATTGTCCTCCAAAATAACCTACACCAAGTAAATGAGTGACGCAACACGTGGCAGATGGAATTCAACATAAATAAATGTCATGTTATGGAATGCACCATTGGAGAGCACAGGCCATACACAGGAGGTTGGATAGTAAGCAATCATCAGAGGAACCCATGAATGGCATTATGAGAGGAGCCTACGTTACCCTAGCAAATTTGAAAACTGTATTTAAATATGTGGACCAAGAACTATTCAAGAAACTTTTCACGCAGTTTATGAGATGGAAATGTGTATATGCAGCAGGGGTTTGCTGCCCATATCACAAGAAGCCCGTGAACAAATTAAAAAAGGGGGCAAATATATTCTACGAAATGTCTTCCAGAACCTAAGCACATGAGCTACTGTATGTGGAAAAGCTTAAGGCATTAAACATGCCGAGGCTAGGAGATAGAAGTAAAAGAAGTGATATGATCATTACATACAAAATAGTAACAGGAATCAACATAGTTGACAAAGAAGAAATCTTTAAACCTGCAACTTCAAGAACAAGAGCTCGTTGTTTCAGGCTAAGGAAACAAAGTTGGCTTTGCTCTCGTCTCACAATTGGGCATCCCGGGTTCGATTCCCGAGTGGGACAGAAATGGTTGGGTATGATTCCTTTCACCTAATGCCTCTGCTCACCTAGCACTAAAGAGGTAAATGTTACGAGAGTTGTAACCTCTTCTGCTTTATGGTATGTGCAGTTTGTGTGAAGGTTTCCTCCTAGTGGCAGTAAATAGGTACCTGGGAGTTAGTCAGCTGTCACGGGCTGCTTCCTGGGGGTGGAGGCCTGGTCGAGGACCGGGCCGCGGGGACACTAAAAAGCCCCGAAATCATCTCAAGATAACCTCAAGATAGTGAATGCACGCGTGGTTATGTTGGGAGACCCATCACAGTGGCATGTCTATACTCACCTAATTGTGCTTGCGGGGGTTGAGCTCTGGCTCTTTGGTCCCGCCTCTCAACTGTCAGTCAACTGGTGTACAGATTCCTGAGCCTACTGGGCTCTATCATATCTACATTTGAAACTGTGTATGGAGTCAGCCTCCACCACATCACTTCCTAGTGCATTCCATTTATTAACTACTCTGACACTGAAAAAATTCTTTCTAACGTTTCTGTGGCTCATCTGGGTACTAAGTTTCCACCTGTGTCCCCTTAGTGTGTTGATGATTGAGTAATGTTATTGATGCAAGGGTGATGATGGATTAGGCCGTTTTAGAAGTTTGATTTCATGCATGGAGGTAAGGGCTGGATGTTGTGTTGATGTCAATGGACCGTTGCTGTTCTATGTAGCTAGGGCTACGTTTTCTATGTATGGTTGATTGTCCTGGTGATTTGAGTTGTATGAACAGGTCAGATGTCACCAAATTTTTTGGTTGACTGGAGATAATTTAGCCAGTGCTTTGGCGATATTTTACTTGTTCTGTAGTGACAGATCTCCTCCCCATAATATGTGCTCAATTTTAAAAGGCACTTCAAGAGTGATAAATACTTGTTTAAGATTACTTCTAGCACTATGAAGTCTGAAAGATAGAAGGAGGTATGTTCCATTCTCTCTGGAACATGGTAGTGGATGCGAAGTTCATCTATGTCTGGCTCTGGCATTTTCCTTTGTTAAAAGGAAAAATGCCTCTGCCCGTGAGGTTAGTTCTGCCCTGTCTCAGCATGTGAATGTTTGTGAAAATGGGACTATTTTGGGGAGTTGATTACTATTCGGTTATGAAAAGTTGGTCTGGTTTTGATAAGTAGAGGAATTGTTTACATTCTGTGAGTGATGTTTTGATGAGTAGAGGAATTGTTTACGTTCTGTGAGTGATGTTTTGATGAGTAGAGGAATTGTTTACGTTCTGTGAGTAATGTTTTGATGAGTAGAGGAATTGTTTACGTTCTGTGAGTGATGTTTTGATGAGTAGAGGAATTGTTTACGTTCTGTGAGTGATGTTTTGATGATTTTGCACAGTAGGTAATCAAGGTCAAGTGGGCCAGTTATAGTGTTTTATGTTGTGATTACATCTGTTTGTCTTGGCATTCATTCCAGTAGTACAGCATGTTTGGGAATGGGTGGGGGGTGGGGGGGGGGTTGCACGGAGAAGTGTGGCTATCTTGAGGTGATTTCGGGGCTTTAGTGTCCCCGCGGCCCGGTCCTCGACCAGGCCTCCACCCCCAGGAAGCAGCCCGTGACAGCTGACTAACACCCAAGTACCTATTTTACTGCTAGGTAACAGGGGCATAGGGTGAAAGAAACTCTGCCCATTGTTTCTCGCCTGCGCCCGGGATCGAACCCGGGACCACAGGATCACAAGTCCAGCGTGCTGTCCGCTCGGCCGACCGGAAGATGATAAACTTCAGATGAGTGTTATGCCCTTCAATATGATCTGGATAAAATAAGTGTGTGGAGTAACGCTTGGCAGATGGATTTCACCGTAAAGAATTATGTGGAATAGGAGAAAATTGGCCACCCACAACCTCCAAATTACAGTACAGTATATGGAAAGGCATTACAGAACTCGGACAAAGAAAGAGACCTGCCCTTGCCAATTTCAGAATTGCATTTATATATATGGAGAGTGAAATGATAAAAGAAAGTGTTCATGATTTTGAGAGACCAAACTGGAATATGCAGAGGTTGTATGGTGTCCATATCTCAAGGAGGACATCAATAAACTGGTAAAGGTGGAAAGACATGGTACTAAATGGCTTCCAGAGATGAAAAATGGCCTCACGACCTCACACCAGTAGGGCCTACAGTTGGAGACCCAAAGAGCCTAGGTGAATCGAAAAATAAGCGCTATTAGGAGAGGCTAGAAGTGTTAAATTTGCAAAAATGCAGAAAAAAGAGAAGGGAAGAGATTTGATCACTACATACAAAATAGTAACAGGAATTTTTTAAAATTAAAACTTCAGAAACAAGAGGTCGTACTCAAGAATAAGGAAGCAGCAAAGAAAAAAAATTGAAAGTTCTCTTTTTTGCAAACAGTGGTAGACAAAGTGCCACATGACGAAAAGTGCTCTGAAGACGGAACACCAAACACAGTTCTCATCCTGTAACTGCACTTAGTAATTACACGGTAACTAATAGTAATTAAACGGTAACTAATAGTAATTACACGGTAACTAATAGTAATTAAACGGTAACTAATAGTAATTACACGGTAACTAATAGTAATTACACGGTAACTAATAGTAAATTACACGGTAACTAATAGTAATTACACGGTAACTAATAGTAATTACACGGTAACTAATAGTAATTACACGGTAACTAATAGTAATTACACGGTAACTAATAGTAAATTACACGGTAACTAATAGTAATTACACGGTAACTAATAGTAATTACACGGTAACTAATAATAATTACACGGTAACTAATAGTAATTACACGGTAACTAATAGTAATTACACGGTAACTAATAATAATTACACGGTAACTAATAGTAATTACACGGTAACTAATAATAATTACACGGTAACTAATAGTAATTACACGGTAACTAATAGTAATTACACGGTAACTAATAGTAAATTACACGGTAACTAATAGTAATTACACGGTAACTAATAGTAATTACACGGTAACTAATAGTAATTACACGGTAACTAATAGTAATTACACGGTAACTAATAATAATTACACGGTAACTAATAGTAATTACACGGTAACTAATAATAATTACACGGTAACTAATAGTAATTACACGGTAACTAATAGTAATTACACGGTAACTAATAGTAATTACACGGTAACTAATAGTAATTACACGGTAACTAATAGTAATTACACGGTAACTAATAGTAATTACACGGTAACTAATAGTAATTACACGGTAACTAATAGTAATTACACGGTAACTAATAGTAATTACACGGTAACTAATAGTAATTACACGGTAACTAATAGTAATTACACGGTAACTAATAGTAATTACACGGTAACTAATAGTAATTACACGGTAACTAATAATAATTACACGGTAACTAATAGTAATTACACGGTAACTAATAGTAATTACACGGTAACTAATAATAATTACACGGTAACTAAACAATCTTCACAACACATGATATTCACTAATCAATTTACATGGTAACTAAACAATCTTCACTACACATGATGTTCACTAATCAATTTACATGGTAACTAAACAATCTTCACTACACATGATGTTCACTAATCAATTTACATGGTAACTAAACAATCTTCACTACACATGATGTTCACTAATCAATTTACATGGTAACTAAACAATCTTCACTACACATGATATTCACTCAAGACAAATCTTCACTACAAATGATGCTCACTTAAACACGGCTGTAAAAGCAAACAGTTACCTTTGTTAAGCTATTTTTGTATCGAAGCGAAAACAATTTCATCAATAGTTCAGTTTAGTACATAATCTTGAATGCCGTGCACCAGATGGCTTTGCTGAAGCATCATTAATATCGGTGTCCGTGGCTTCCTCATTGTCTTAATAATGCTAATTATCTTCTTGCATACACCATAACTCAGTATTGTGAGTCCAACATGCGCTATACGTAAAAAAACTCGTCGCTTTCGGAATGCTTCACAAGTTCTTAGGATAGGTGTCGCCGACAGTTCCGTGTAGGCTGTCTTTTGGTTAAAGCACTAGTGATGGACTCTGATGTAGTTCATTTGGTATCGTGTTGTGTGGCAACATTTGCCATTTAATGCAGAGTTATGATTGGTACTTGCTAAGGGTCCAGGACAGACTAAAAATGGGCAGTGCACTTTCATTGCATTGTCTGTGTCCCGTCCCAAATCCTTATGCTGATCCCTTCGAGCGAGGGAATTATCAGGGGGGAAAGCGCCAAGCCCTTACGACTGTATAGCACTGGGAAGGGGTCAGGATAAGGATTTGGAATGGGACGGGTGGAAAGGAATGGTGCCCCAACCACTTGGACGGTCGGGGATTGAACGCTGACCTGCATGAAGCGAGACCGTCGCTCTACCGTCCAGCCCAAGTGGTTGGGCTGATCCCTTCGAGGTGCTATAGAGTTGTAATGGATTGGCACTTTCTTCTTATAGTCTCCATACTCACTCGCTCACTCACTGTCGTACTTTAATTATTAGTCTTGTATATGAACTTAAGCGTGTTAAGTCCCGAGCAGATTTCATAAATAAGAGAATATTGTTATGTTGTGCTTATACTTTGTAGTGTTGTGTATTAATATTTGTTGTTGTATTTCTCATGCATTGAAGACTGAAAGTATTGTATTTTATGATATTAGTCTTGTTTTCGTTATGTGCTGTACGTGTTTTATATAATGTATAAATAGTAAAGTAGGCTCTTTACTATTTTATATAAATTTTATTGCTGGCATTTTATCATTTATTATTATCACTATTATTAAGAGAGTAAAAATCCATGAATGATATCCAGAACATGTTCTTACTTGTCAATTTTTTCTTTTTTCTTTTCTTTCGTTTTTTTTTTCTTAGCAGCCGTAGCCAAGGTGAAGAGTTCTCGCGTTTCTACTCCGAAGTCGGCACGCAAAGGTGCAGCACCCAAAGGCACACCGAAAGGAACACCCAAAAGCACACCCAAAGCCGCAGGCAAGACTTTAGTGGCGAAAACTTCACCGAAGAGCATCCCAAAGGCCACACCCAAGGCTGTTGTTCCTCCAAAAACCACCCCAAAATTGGGACGACGGACAACACGCAAATAGCCCGAGGACAACGATGGGGAGACCCAGGGCGTTGTCGATAAACATCCGAAACCACGGGGAATGAGTGCACCAAATGACCTGACCACATGCATAAGGCTAATGCTGTTAGCAAAATAGGTACTCGTCCAATTATTGAATTAAGGAAGTAATCGGGCTTTTTTTGAATTGACAGAATTCACAAAGCTGTAGCGGGCAAGCCTTAGTGCATATACTGATAATGGAGGCAGAAAAAGGCATTTTGTATATGAGCCGTCTAACCTTGCCCTCCTCCTCCCCCCCCCTTTCACCCTCCCCTCCCCACCTCCTACCCTTAGCATCATTGTGTAATTGTTATTGTTTGTAAACATAGTCTCGTTCCCTGGCCCCTCGTCCTCTGTCCTCTATTCTCTCCCCTCCTCCACCCCACTTTTTTTTTTTTTTTTTTTTTTTATAAGGAAGGTTGTTCAATATTGGATGCATGATGAATCGTTTCTTGTGTGATTGTGCCTGTGCCAGTTTTAACGAGATTGTATGCACGAGTCTCCTGAGATTGTATGTGTGAGGCTCTTGGATAATTGTGCAAATGTGAGTGTACAAAACTATGAGGGTAATTGTAACCAGTTTAAATTAACTAGAGGATAGGTTATGTTCAGAGTACATATTAATGTTTAATCTATTGTATATGTATAATAGTTCTCAATGTACAACTCAAACTTTTTATATCATTACAAGAATGGCATTTTATTATCATTACAAGAGTGCCAGTCCTAGCCCCCCCCCCCTCTCCCCCATTCCCTTCCCCTCACCCCCCCCTCTCCCCCATTCCCTTCCCCTCACCCCCCCCCCCTCTCCCGCCCACTTTTTGTCTTGTCTCCTGAAGAAGTTGTGAGTTTGAGGAAGTCTCCTGAGGAAGTCCTCGGGTTTGAGATGCCGAGAGTTGCGGACGGCCTTGCATCGAGGCAAACCTCCAATCTAGGGGAGCCTTTGGTCCTTATTGACGTGTTTGCAGAGACTAAAATAAACTGCTCAACGTAAATTGAATGTTCTGACCGCCTCCATCCATTGTGAGTGAAGCATTAGGTAGTTTGTTAGACGTGAAGTATGAAGCAGACGGAAGTTTTCTTTTTTTTTTAAGTGAGGCATATGTATCATAAGGTTTATGCAGCTGTACCAGCAAGAAGCACTTCATGATTTTTTTGTCAATTAGATGATTTACGGAGTTTGAGTTTGTATATTTTCTTACTGAATATATAAACTGATTGGTTTTGCAATTATTCTATTATTATTCTTTGTTTAAATTGAAAAAAAACTAACTTTCTTTGAAGTGGAAATGCAATATTTTGCTACTGTTAATGCACAATTACTTCATGCACTACAGTATTGAGAAATTGGTTTAAGGACACATACCGAACAGTAGCATAGTTATGCCTCGGCCCTCTACTCGAAATGAGGAAGACGTGAAGGATCAAGACGACGCTCACGGACTCGTCTTGCGAGCATTATCTAATTGCATACTCAAGTGGTGTAGAGGGTGAGGCCATGTAGGCTGTACATAAGTAATAAATGACCTGTAACATTGATGTAATGTCTTGATTGTAGGTGTGTGACTTACCAATGCTGTTTTATGTTACAGACTATTTTGGGCTATCATTCTTAGACTACCACTTGAGTGATGACTGTAACATTAAGAAGTCCATCCTGCTATTCCCCCAATAGGTGAACGTGACGCATGCCGTCACGTTCACCGTCGTGTTCACATGTTATCATTGTGAAGATAATTTTTACGGTCCAGTGAGGTGCATTTTCTGTTTGTGCAACTAAATCTTTGATCGTGAGGTGATAGATCAATAGCATTACAAATCCTGCTTACATTCAAGTTGTGTTTAAGAATATAGTTCTGTGAAGCATATCTGGGCTTTGGAGGGGGATGTGCTGAGAGTGAGTGCTGTGTTGTGGGGAAAACCAAGCCCTATTTTATCTTATAAGCCTGGTTTTTAGGCATTGGTTGGGTGTGTACAAGGACAAGGACGGCAATCAGTCCTCGTAATGTGACTTGACCGGTGCTTGCCAGTGGACGGGGGGGGGGTAATGTGGGAGGTATGTTGATCTTAGTTAAAAGAAACAAAAGTTAAAAAAAATATATATATAATGAGCAATGTAACATATTTGACCTGAATAGTTTAAAAAGTGTGCTGGGCCACAATCACTGATGAACTGCAACATGTACGAGCTCATTTGTGTTTTCCATTGGTATGTAAGCATTGCCAACAGTAGATGTAAATGGAAACAACATTTTTTGTTCTTTGATACACTATTTAAAAAAAAAAATAGCAACAGTACTATTTAGAGTGTTGCTTTTATAACATGTTCAGTCACTTTTATACAAATCTTGAGGACTTTAGGGTATTTGTAAAGTTTCCGTGTACACCCCTTCTAGTGCAAACTTAATAAGGACATAGACTATGCTGACTGCTAGTGGAGTAAGTACAAGCATGATGGTATTTTTTTTTACTTCATTTTATATATTATTTTAACGAGGAGTCGAGATGATGCTGATGGCTCCGTTTTTATTGGGAATCTAAAGAGCAACATTGCAAATTTGGGCTAAAAAGATACGATTTTTTTTTTCCCCAGTCAACCTACCTGCTTGGACTTCCTCGAGGCATGAGAGAACGCTCTGAAGAGCTCTTTATTAGAAGAGTTTACCAGTTGCGTGCCGTGTGTGTGTGTGTACGTGCGTGCGTGTGTCGGGGCTGCAGTTATGAGAGCCATTTGCAGAATATCTTTAATTTGTAAAAGTTTTACCAACACAACGGTAATTTGTTTTGAACTATTTCCATACTTCTGGAACTTGCGGAGCAATCTTTGCTTTTCACAGAAGTTCACGTGAATGTAACAATCAACCAGAAAATTCCCTTATTTGTATACTTGAATTCTTACATCTTTTAAATGGTTTTGTTCTATAGGGATTTCTTGCACTGTAAGCCAAGGGATTTTTTTTCTGGATGTATTTAACATTTTGGAAAACTTATTTTATAAATTTTCTGTGAATGTGTTTGTTAAACCTCTGCAAAAAAAAAAAAAGAAGAAAAAAGACAAAAAAAATTGTGTAAATTATGCTTTTACAATAGTTGCTATTAAAGATTATTTTGAGGAAAACAATATATTTTTTAAATGGTAAAGATCCTATTTGAGAAATTTTGAATATTAGGGATTATTGATGAATACTTTGTGTCTTGAATGTTATTTGCAAAGGAAAATAATAAAAAAAAAAACTGCCGAGCGTTTAGGTAGACTCGCATTTGCAATGATGAGATTGCATCAAATACAAATTGTGTACATATTTATGGCTTTGTAATTCAGAAAGTGGAGCTGAAAAGTCCACGTGTAGATTCATTCAAGACACAATAATACTCCTGAATATCCTGAAGGGTCCACGACTGACTGACAGGGGCGTGTGTGTACATGCTTTAGTAAAATAGATTTTACTATAATTTTATTAATATTACCTTATTTTTTACACTTAAAAATCATTTATATATATAATGTATAGTGTGTGTGTGTGTAATATATATATATATTACACATAGACTACCACTTCAGACTACTATATATATATATATAGTATAAATGATATATATATATATTTAAAAAACAATGGGGATTGTTGTGAATGATGCCAATAACAGCAGCAGCGTTAAGTTTCTCAACCTTTTGCAACAGACATTTCCACTGAGTATTTTGCATACAGTAAGTGGGTCACATTGTAGCAATGGGCCGTGGTTTTCTTAAGTAAATATCATTGTACTGATGAGTCTTAATTCTCCTTGATAATTTATAGTGGTGTTAGGAGTCAGTTTTCCTTGTTTGTAGACGGTAATTGTTTTTTGTTTTGTGTTGTACTCCAAGTATTGTAGTTGCTAATGAATTACGTCGTGAATTGTTGAAGCTCTGATAACTAACTGGATCACTTTATATGCATTAATAATTGTATTTATGTATAATGTATGTATTATATACATTCTACAATGATCACCAAAACACTGATCCCAAGTATGTGGAAAAGGCACATTTGAAGAATTGGAGAATGATAAACACGTTTTCGGCTAAATTTGCCTTCATCAGAGCAAGATAGTCAAATCTCTATCTTGCATTGAGCCGAAAATGCGTTCAGCATTCTCTAATTCTTCAAATGTAGTTTTTCTGCAAATACAGTACATTATATATATACTTGTATTATATATACATGTATGCAAGAATAGTCATGAAAATGTGAATTGGTTTAAGTTATGTGTATGTATCTTTTTGCATAGGAAAATGGAAACTAGATTAATTTGAGCGCTTTCGTGATTAACACAGTCTTGAATAAGCATTAATCGCAAAAGTACTGATTAATTTAATTTCATTTCGTTTTCCTATGTGGATAATTACACAGGAACAGGTTCCTGAAAATTGTATATACCAACATAGATGGAGTGAGATAAAAAGAAATACTGGAACTAAAAGATATAATTCAGCTTAAGGTCCCAGATATAGTTGCACTAACAGATGATACTTGAAAATATTTTATATGAGGTCATATTCCTAATGGCTACTCAGTTTGGAGAAGTGACAGGAAAACTAGAAAGGGTAAAAAGGAGTGTCTGTGCTGGTGAAAGAACACCTGAAGGTAAGAGTTAATAATCGAAAACCATCGATTGGTTGAGTTATATATACTATGGCATTGTAGGTCTGGAATCAGGATGATAATCTGATAATTGTACACACACAGAGATCACACTAACGTGATGCATCAAATGAACAAATCCACAAGGGTCGTGACGAGGATTCGAACATGCGTCCGGGAGCATCCCAGACACTGCCTTAATCGACTGAGCTACGACAGGGTTAAGAGAGTTGAAACCGAAGTTCTACTGAACTTACTGGATCCCGCAGCCTCTTCGAGACACAAACCAGGGTTTTACACAACTCCCCCCTGCACCCGAGCTATGTCAATAGTACCCTGTCGTAGCTCAGTCGATTAAGGCAGTGTCTGGGATGCTCCCGGACGCAGGTTCGAATCCTCGTCACGGCCCTTGTGGATTTGTTAATCTGATAATTGTAATTGGCCCGCACTACAAGCCAGCAACAGTTACACAGTGATGAGGAGAGGGTCTGAAAGGAACTTTGAGAAAGGTATAGCGGACAAATGTAAAACAGATCCAGGTCTATTCTATAAATTCATTAAAAGCAAGCTGAATGTAAAGGATAAAATCCAGAAATTGAGAAAGGGGTACAAGACTACTGAGAATGAAAAAGAAATGTGTTAAATGAACAGTTCCAAAGTGTGTTTGTATAAAATAAGAATTTCAGAGAACCGAACCCAATACCAATTCTAGAGCAAACCATAGAACACACAGAAGTATCTCAAGACGAAGTGGAAAACTTACTCTAGGGGGCTAGGAAGAAATAAAGCAGTTGGACCTGATGGAGTTTCACCTTTGGTGCTGCGAGAATGTGCAACTGAGCTCAGCATACCACTCCAATTAATATTCCACACATCCTTGTGCACAGGAATCTTAACAAATATATGGAAAAAGCCATAGTACGAATTTGTAAAAGTGGTAGTCGAGAGGAACCTCTAAATAATAGACCCGCATTTCTAACAAGCATGGTAGTCAAAACCCTAGAAAAAATAGTTAAAAGCCAAATGGGTTGAACACCTAGAGAGTAATGACATAACGGACAGACATTATGGTTTCGAACAGGAAGGTCTTGTGTAACAAATCATCTTGGTTTTTATGATAGGGCCTCAGAGATACTAAAGGAAAGAGAAGGTTGGGTTGACTGTGTCTATCTAGACCTAAAAAAAAAAAGACTTGATAGTTCCACACTAGAGGCTGTTCTGGAAACTGGAACATGCTGGACTTCCGACATAATATAATAATAATAATAATTTTTATTTAGGTAAGGTACATACATACAATAAATTTTTACAGAGATTGGTTGACTTATAGGTAGAGCTAGTACATACAATGCCTAAAGCCACTATTACGCAAAGCGTTTCGGGCATGATAAACTTAAATGACAAGCTTAATACTAATTGAGCATAATGAGTAGAATGAAAACAAGAAATGAAAACATAGATGAAAAAGCAGCACAAATACAATTATGTCAACAAACAGCGCTCTTAGAAAAAACAGACATTGGTTGACAATAGAAGGGTAAGGTAGGTTACAGGGAATTTATTAGGTATAGCTTCGTTTTTTACTTAAACTGGTTGAGAGATGGATGAAAGATGTTCTGACAGACAGAGAGCAGTAATCTAAGACAATATATCTAGAGGAGTGTTGCTAGCAGAGTCCCGCAGGGTTCAGTTCTTGCACCAGTAATGTTCATCATCTTCATAAACGATCATGGTGCTACATAGCCTTCCCGGTTTGGTGCCTTCTTTTAATACTTACATAAACGATACATCAGAAGAAATACAGAATTATATGAACATGTTTGCGGATGATGCTTCTAGATCTAAGAACAAGGTGAGGTCTCCAGCTGGAGGAATGTAACAAGTGGGGTCCCTCCAATCAATAGGATGGACAGAATTATCAGGGGAAAACACTAAGCAATTAAGACTATATAGTACTTGGAAGAGGTTAAGATAATGATTTGGGACGGGATGGGGGAAAGGAATGGTGCCTGATCACTTGGACGATCGGGGATTGAGCACCGACATGCATGAAGCGAGACCGTCGCTCTACCGTCCAACTGGTAGACTGGACGGTACATCTTTAGGTTATCCTGAGATGATTTCGGGGCTTAGCGTCCCCGCGGCCCGGTCCTCGACCAGGCCTCCTTTTTGTTACACATCCCCAGGAAGCAGCCCGTAGCAGCTGTCTAACTCCCAGGTACCTATTTACTGCTAGGTGAACAGGGGGCATCAGGGTGAAAGAAACATTTTGCCCATTTGTTTCCGCCTCCACCGGGGATCGAACCCGGAACCTCAGGACTACGAATTCGAAGCGTTGTCCAACCAGCTGTCAGGCCCCCTGGTAGAGTATATATTTAAATCATCACGTGGAGGTTGTGGATATCATACTCATATATTAGCCTATAATATACAGTTTATATCAAGTAATAAGTTTATATCAAGTAACAGGTGCGCAAAACTCATTCATATAAGATCACTATAGCTATAAAATTAGTTAATTTCAAATAAACAGATCGTTGAAAGTCGCAATTCTAGATATAATATAGGGGGGGGGGGTAAATATATATATATTATATATATATATATATATATATATATATATATATATATATATATATATATATATATATATATATATATATATATATATATATATATATATATATATATATATATATATATATATATATATATATGCAACAATGATCACAAAAACATATATATATATATATATATATATATATATATATATATATATATATATATATAACATATATATCTTTATATAGCTATATTCGGCCATTTTGTGAATTTCGCCTCTAGAGCGCCGCTCAATAAGGGCGAGACGCTACTAACCTCAAGGCAGCGAGGCGTCCCGGCCAGCCAATCACAGCCTCCATTTCAAACGCCACCGCCCCGACCAATCACCGCCGGGGTCTGAGCGCGCGTCCTGCCCGCGCTAATCAGCGACCCCGTCGCATGGCCTTTAGGCCGGCGGGTGCCGCGGGCGGGCCAATCACCACCCGTCAGGGTAGCGCGCCAAAGCATCCGTTAGTGTTTGTGTGAGTGTCCGAGCGACTTAATGTGGCGCGGTGTTTTCCTTTACATATTTGGTGAGTATGGCGTGTGTGAGGCGTGGCGCGGGGGCTGTGTGGTGCCGGGGCGTGGCGCAGGAGGCGCGGCAGGCGTGGGGCAGGCGCGGGCGGCGGCAGGGTGGCCCTTGGCGGCAAAAAGGGCTGAAAGAGAGGGCGGGAGGGCGTTCAAAAAGTGGCGGGGTTGAGGGGGGGGGGACGCTAGCAGCGGCGTCATGACTTAACCTCATAACCTCATACTGCCTCATAACCACCACTACCCCTCATAACCACCACTACCCCTCATAACCACCACTACCCCCTCATAACCACCACTACCCCTCATAACCACCACTACCCCTCATAACAACCACTACCCCTCATAACCACCACTACCCCTCATAACCACCACTACCCCCTCATAACCACCACTACCCCTCATAACAACCACTACCCCTCATAACCACCACTACCCCCTCATAACCACCACTACCCCTCATAACCACCACTACCCCTCATAACCACCACTACCCCTCATAACCACCACTACCCCCTCATAACCACCACTACCCCTCATAACCACCACTACCCCTCATAACCACCACTACCCCCTCATAACCACCACTACCCCCTCATAACCACCACTACCCCCTCATAACCACCACTACCCCTCATAACCACCACTACCCCTCATAACCACCACTACCCCTCATAACCTCATACTGCCTCATAACCACCACTACCCCCTCATAACCACCACTACCCCTCATAACCACCACTACCCCTCATAACCACCACTACCCCTCATAACCACCACTACCCCTCATAACCTCATACTGCCTCATAACCACCACTACCCCCTCATAACCACCACTACCCCTCATAACCACCAATACCCCTCATAACCACCACTTCCCCCTCATAACCACCACTACCCCTCATAACCTCATACTGCCTCATAACCACCACTACCCCCTCATAACCACCACTACCCCCTCATAACCACCACTACCCCTCATAACCTCATACTGCCTCATAACCACCACTACCCCTCATAACCACCACTACCCCTCATAACCACCACTACCCCTCATAACCACCACTACCCCCTCATAACCACCACTACCCCTCATAACCACCACTACCCCTCATAACCACCACTACCCCTCATAACCACCACTAACCCCTCATAACCACCGCTAACCCCTCATAACCACCACTACCCCTCATAACCACCACTACCCCTCATAACCACCACTACCCCTCATAACCACCACTACCCCTCATAACCACCACTACCCCTCATAACCATCACTACCCCTCATAACCACCACTACCCCTCATAACCACCACTACCCCTCATAACCATCACTACCCCTCATAACCACCACTACCCCTCATAACCATCACTACCCTCATAACCACCACTACCCCCTCATACCACCACTAACCCCTCATAACCACCACTAACCCCTCATAACCACCACTACCCCCTCATAACCACCACTAACCCCTCATAACCACCACTACCCCTCATAACCACCACTACCCCTCATAACCATCACTACCCCTCATAACCACCACTACCCCTCATAACCACCACTACCCCTCATAACCACCACTACCCCTCATAACCACCACTACCCCCTCATAACCACCACTACCCTCTCATAACCACCACTACCCCTCATAACCACCACTACACCTCATAACCACCACTACCCCTCATAACCACCACTAACCCCTCATAACCACCACTACCCCTCATAACCACCACTACCCCTCATAACCACCACTAACTCCTCATAACCACCACTACCCCCTCATAACCACCACTACCCCTCATAACCACCACTACCCCCTCATAACCACCACTACCCCTTATAACCACCACTACCCCTCATAACCACCACTACCCCCTCATAACCACCACTACCCCCTCATAACCACCACTACCCCTCATAACCACCACTACCCCTCATAACCACCACTACCCCCTCATAATCACCACTACCCCTCATAACCACCACTACCCCCTCATAACCACCACTACCCCTCATAACCACCACTACCCCCTCATAACCACCACTACCCCTCATAACCACCACTACCCCTCATAACCACCACCCCCTCATAACCACCACTACCCCTCATAACCACCACTACCCCTCATAACAACCACTACCCCTCATAACCACCACTACCCCTCATAACCACCACTACCCCCTCATAACCATTACTACCCCTCATAACCACCACTACCCCTCATAACAACCACTACCCCTCATAACCACCACTACCCCTCATAACCACCACTACCCCTCATAACCACCACTACCCCCTCATAACCACCACTACCCCTCATAACCACCACTACCCCCTCATAACCACCACTACCCCTCATAACCACCACTACCCCCTCATAACCACCACTACCCCCTCATAACCACCACTACCCCTCATAACCACCACTACCCCTCATAACCACCACTACCCCCATAACCCCCACTACTACCACTACCCCTCATAACCACCACCACTACCCCTCATAACCACCACTACCCCTCATAACCACCACTACCCCTCATAACCACCACTACCCCTCATAACCACCACTACCCCCTCATAACCACCACTACCCCCTCATAACCACCACTACCCCTCATAACCACCACTACCCCTCATAACCACCCTACCCCCTCATAACCACCACTACCCCTCATAACCACCACTACCCCTCATAACCACCACTACCCCTCATAACCACCACTACCCCTCATAACCACCACTACCCCTCATAACCACCACTACTACCCCTCATAACCACCACTACCCCTCATAACCACCACTACCCCCTCATAACCACCACTACCCCCTCATAACCACCACTACCCCTCATAACCACCACTACCCCTCATAACCACCACTACCCCTCATAACCACCACTACCCCTCATACCACTACCACCACTACCACCCCTCATAACCACCACTACCCCTCATAACCACCACTACCCCCCTCATAACCACCACTACCCCTCATAACCACCACTACCCCTCATAACCACCACTACCCCTCATAACCACCACTACCCCTCATAACCACCACTACCCCTCATAACCACCACTACCCCTCATAACCACCACTACCCCTCATAACCACCACTACCCCTCATAACCACCACTACCCCTCATAACCACCACTACCCCTCATAACCACCCACCCCTCTAACCACCACCCCCTCATAACCACCACTACCCCTCATAACCCCCCACTACCCCTCATAACCACCACTACCCCTCATAACCACCACTACCCCTCATAACCACCACTACCCCTCATAACCACCACTACCCCTCATAACCACCACTACCCCTCATAACCACCACTACCCCTCATAACCACCACTACCCCTCATAACCACCACTACCCCTCATAACCACCACTACCCCTCATAACCACCACTACCCCTCATAACCACCACTACCCCTCATAACCACCACTACCCCTCATAACCACCACTACCCCTCATAACCACCACTACCCCTCATAACCACCACTACCCCTCATAACCACCACTACCCCTCATAACCACCACTACCCCTCATAACCACCACTACCCCTCATAACCACCACTACCCCTCATAACCACCACTACCCCTCATAACCACCACTACCCCTCATAACCACCACTACCCCTCATAACCACCACTACCCCTCATAACCACCACTACCCCTCATAACCACCACTACCCCTCATAACCACCACTACCCCTCATAACCACCACTACCCCTCATAACCACCACTACCCCTCATAACCACCACTACCCCTCATAACCACCCACCCCACTAACCCCCTACCCCTCAACCACCACTACCCCTCATAACCACCACTACCCCTCATAACCACCACTACCCCTCATAACCACCACTACCCCTCATAACCACCACTACCCCTCATAACCACCACTACCCCTCATAACCACCACTACCCCTCATAACCACCACTACCCCTCATAACCACCACTACCCCTCATAACCACCACTACCCCTCATAACCACCACTACCCCTCATAACCACCACTACCCCTCATAACCACCACTACCCCTCATAACCACCACTACCCCTCATAACCACCACTACCCCTCATAACCACCACTACCCCTCATAACCACCACTCATAACCCCCCCTCATAACCACCACTACCCCTCATAACCACCACTACCCCTCATAACCACCACTACCCCCTCATAACCACCACTACCCCCTCATAACCACCACTACCCCTCATAACCACCACTACCCCCTCATAACCACCACTACCCCTCATAACCACCACTACCCCCTCATAACCACCACTACCCCTCATAACCACCACTACCCCTCATAACCACCACTACCCCCTCATAACCACCACTACCCCCTCATAACCACCACTACCCCTCATAACCACCACTACCCCTCATAACCACCACTACCCCTCATAACCACCACTACCCCTCATAACCACCACTACCCCTCATAACCACCACTACCCCTCATAACCACCACTACCCCTCATAACCACCACTACCCCCTCATAACCACCACTACCCCCTCATAACCACCACTACCCCTCATAACCACCACTACCCCTCATAACCACCACTACCCCTCATAACCACCACTGTATAATAGACAAATACTCATGAAAACACAGGAACGAGTGTGTGAGCATTTGTATATTTGATAAATAAAATATTTAAAATTTAATTTATTATTTGAAATATTAGTTTTTATGTTTTTATTATTATTATTATTTTTATCCATTATTATTTATTTTATTATTATTATTATTATAAAGTTGAGGTGGAAGACGTTTCAACCTCTTGGAAGATATTGTTCATCCTTGTAATACAATACGAATGTCTTACTCACCTTGCGTCAAGACAGGCTCAGCTGTCTTGTGTGTGTGTGGTTAACAACCTTCTATGTTTCTTTGTCACTAAGAATACACAGGTGAATTTGTAACCGCGGGAGCAAAGGCTTTATTTAGCTTA